AAAAAAAGCAGCACCTATCCTGACACTATGGCCCTTGTACCTAGAAGGGTAGAGGCCACAACATTCATTTTACCCTTTCACCTGGTGAGACAATGGATGAATGGCGCAAATGCACTAAATGTCCCGATTTTTGTAATGCCGCTGATCATGAAGGGGCTTATTTAATTTATCTCCATTATGCTGTCGCGCAATCATAAGGGACTGCTCAACTATTCAAAAATAACACAATAGGGGGAAGGGCCTAAAAATCCTATTTACAGGCAAATATGATATTTATTAAGGTAGCTTCTGATGTATTTTATGGACATCGTACTATAGGAAGTCCCTGAAACCAGTGTTGACTCTGGCTAGCCAGAATCAAAAGCTATAACAGTCAAAAGCTAACAATTGACAGTCAAAAGCTGACAATTTAAATCCAAACTAAGAAAAACATTGGTTATGATATACAATATTTCTGTCATAACTGCCTTTGGTCTTGTGGCACTAGGAAACGATCCTGAAGAACTTCATAAAAGTGTAATTTTCAGATTTTTCATTTCCACAGTCAGTCAACAAAATGATGAAGAATCTAAACATTGCAACCATTTTTTACTAAGTTTACAAATCCTATGTATATTCTACCAAATTTATCTACACCAATTATTTGGTTGGTTGGTAAGTATTGCTAGAATAGAAAAGAACAGGCACACAAAATTTGAACATACATGCAGTAAAAAAGGAAAACTTATAAGACCCTGTTTGGACTAATTAGTTTTCCATGTTGTGATATAATCAATATAAGGTGTTAATCATTAAAATATACATTGAGATGCTTTGGTAAAATTATTAAGATTTAACTTCCAAAGCTAACATATGAGAAATATATGTGCTGTTACATAGAATAGTTCTGTCACATTGCAACCTGTCTTATAAACTACATTTTCTAGGAAAACCTAGTTGAGGTAAGTTTATACTGAAATGTCTAATTTTCTCAATTATCATTTTCACAGTTCAGTACTTTATTTCTTAGCCCTCTTAGGAGCTTTTCTTCAACGAAGTTATGTCAATAAGTTTTTTACTTTCCACTCAACAGCTTCCCGAATATGTGGTCGATCTGACTAGCAAAAATGATGAAAAGAAGAGCGACGAAAAGGTCAACCTCGAGGTTAGAGTCTGTTGTTTATTTCTTAGCCCTGTTCTGATGGAGCTTTTCTGCAGCGAAGTTAAGCTCACTATTTTTTTTTTTTTACTCTTTACAGCTCCCTGAATATGTGGTCGATCTGACGATCAACAGGTAAAAATACACAAAATTCATGCTTTTAACAATTCGTGTCGCATCGAGAGTTGTTGTAATGCATGCATGAAGTATGATGGAATTGCCGATTATATATCGATAATTATATATCGATAAAATTATTATTCCAACTGTTCAAATCTAAATGGCAGAGTCGAAAAGCGACATTTTTGTACCATTTAAAAAAACCACTGACTCGTTCACTTGACTCGGACTTGGATTTGACTTGGATCGACTCGGAGTTGACTCGGTGATCCGGCTAACTCGAGTCAAACTATTTTATTTTTGGTAAGAACANGAAACTCAAGGTCAAAGTGAGGCCAAGTGCTAACGTGCGAAGAGCAGTGAGTTTTAAGTTGTTAAGGGCTCCTTGGGAATTGAGAATGAAATAAAACACTGCTACTATGTCACTTTCAACATAAGCACAGATCATACATACACTGATGTAGAACATATACCGTGTGACAACTTTGTGCTTGTTGAGAATGATAATAAAAAGAAAATTGCAAACTGTGTACATTAAATTGTACACTGTAAAATAGAAAAATCTATCAGAAAGGTAAGCAATTTGAATTTGGCCGTGAGAACAGTACGGTACAACGAAGCACAAAACGAGCAAGTATATGTTGGATGAAAACCAATCACTTCGAATCAGCTTTGTGAAGTTTGTCGAAACGGTCCAAGTACTTTTACAGACAAGCTTACTGTACATAAAAAAACAATAGATTTGAAAAACTGGCCACCATACCGCGAGAGCGAGTGAAATCAGCTGAGATCGTCTGGCGAATATAATGGAAGGTGGCAAAAGGAAAATCAAATCTGGTGAGGTTCCGTTATAGGAGAGAAAATCATCCCAAAAATTATCTTGCCTAACTCTTTCTCGCTCATCAAATCGAAAAAAAGACCATCCCCCACTCGAAAGACCTACAGGGAGCGCTGCCAGAGCGAGAATCACATAACCAAAACAAACAGTTAGGTAGCGAATACCTTTTCCAAATATCCTCGTCATGGAAACTACAATTCTACATCTACCAACGTTGTCATTTCTTGTCGAAGCAGCGTTAGCGTCCATTATAATGATCAAAGGTTGTGATTCATCTTCATTTCCTTCACCAGTGATGTCGTGTATGTTCTGTTCCTGACTCTCCTCAGTTTCCGCGTTGCCAACTGTGGACTCCTCAACGACTTGTTGTGATATGCCAGTCACGCAACAGAATTTCTTCTTCCGTCTGAGCCATTCGAGTGTGATAACTGGACCCAAAAGAAACCAATAATAAAGTCTCCTTAGGTAATTTGCCATGTGTTTGAGGTTTTCAGAGTCTTCTACTGTTATTACACACTTGTTCACACCTGTTTTGCCTACTGCCTCAAGGATACCATCTAAGTTAGTAGTTGGACGTTTTAGTGAATTGGTGTTATTGTCACACCCCCAAACAGATCCAAAGGGAATCAATATCTCCTCTTGAGTCTCTGGTTTTGTTACATTTCCAAGTAATCCATAATTGTCCTTCGGAAAATATATCACCACAGAATACCCTGCGTTCTGTGCATTAAGTACGAGATTTCTCCCTGAACATACCGTCATGTYCTCAACACTGACGAGAGCGATTTTGTTGATTTGCATTTTCGCCTTGTTTACATCAACTAGAGGTTGGCAGGCATTGGCCAGTTTGGAAAGCACTGCTAGGCCACTTAAACGAAGATCTTGGTCCTCGTTAGTTGACGATGCTTGCAGAAACGATTGCAGCGAAGGGCGATTATCATCTTCATTTGCATCTTCTTGAAGGTAGCAAACCATTTCCGGGACACTTGAGAACGTCAAAGTTGTTTCGCTTTGTGAATTTTGAGCGTTGAGATAATTTGGAAATTCCAAAAACAATAAGCCACAAGTGAATACGATCAAGCAGAAAGAACCGCCAATGACCACGCATTTCGCTGACATCTTCACTTTCAAAGCAAAAGTGACTTTATTTGAATGCTAACCTTGAATGGAGTATGGGGATGCATCATCATACCGCTGACCAAAAATAATGTAGTGCAACCGACCAGTTACTGAAGGTCTACAAGATAGAATGGTGTGTTAACCTCCTTATTGCAGTGTTCTCATCAAGTATCAAATGTAAACAGAGTCAAATTAAATATTTAAAATTCAATTGATCGAATTTACTTCGTCAAACAAGTCTTGTACTACTGGGAATATCGCTATTGAAATCAGTGGTTCTTATGTGGTTCAAATGCTCTCAACAAAAAAAAGAATAGACTGTTAATTATGTACATCACTACACCAGAAGTCCCTCAAACAAGCGAGAACTCCCATGGCCTTGCAATTTCAAAGGTGATGTGCGATGAAGACTCCAAAATCAGAGTCAGAATGAGGCTAAGTACTGCCGTGCGAAAAGCAGTAAGTTCGTGTTGGTGAAAGAACTTCCAAATGAAGTAAAACACTGTGACTGTGTCAGGTAACAATGCAATTTAAGGGTGAAACAAACTTCAGTCAAAGGATTTCTTGTATAATTGTTTTAAACTTTGTATTGTGATAGGCTTTGTCTGTTGTCTGCTCACTATTTTGTTTCATTTCAATCCCTGTATTATGTGTAATTGCCATTACTCATGTTTATGGATAACAAGAGTACAAGTACATCATAAGTAGTCCTGACAATACAAATGAAAAAAGGTAAAATTATTTCTCAATGCCATGTAACCCTTTCATACCCTAACAGCAGTATGCATATTCTCGATACTGTTCTTTTCCACATTTCCTAAGGTGCTGATGAGAATTTGTTTAAAGGGAAACTGAACCCTAAAAATGAACCATTTTTAAATCGCAGCTTATAGTTCAAATAGCAATGTTCAAGGGTTTTTTCAGTCTTTGGGCCCAACTTTGCCTCGGAAAAATAGTTTAAAGTGGTATTTCGGCCTCGTAGTACGGCGGCTCAGAAAAGCAATGTCAGCGGTCATTTTAGCTCGCTCTTACGTCACTAGTGGGGAAGAAAGATAATTAACCCATACTCTTCCTACAGAAATTTGGTTTGGTTGTGGAGTTATCGAAGTTGCGTGACCTGTAATGGGGATTAACTATGAAAATGAAATGGTAACAGTTGTTTTTCTTGAGTTGGTTCCCCACCACTGACATCATAAACGACCGCTGCTGACCTATTTTGAGCCGACGCTCTTACAGCCCCAAAAGCGGGAAAAAGGCAACTTCAAATCAAATTTTCTCGTAAAAAAAACAAGAAATGAACGAAAATGAATATCAACACTTTATCTCACTCCTCTAAAGCTAACTAGAAATGAATGCAAACACTATATCAATTTTAGGGTTCAGTTCCCCTTTAACAATCATAAGCTTCTTTAGTTGGTGACCAATTGCTTTATTTTTGTGACCTAAATAAGTGATTCAGAAGTAATTTTGTAATTAGATGCTAGTCACTAGTAAGGGTTAGAGGGTTTAGTGCAACACATTAAAAACTTGATTACCCACAATTAGTGCCCTTTTCTTGTCTTTTTAACTGTAAGTTCTGCAAAAATTGTGATCTTAAGATTAAGTTGCGCAAAAATACTTGGCCATAAGACGCACTCCAAAGACAAAATCTTCTTGAAAAAAACCATGCGCCTTATAAACGAGAAACTATGGTAATTATTCAATTCTGCCACAGTTTTTTATTCAATGCACATTTAACAGTTTGTTTTACAATCATCAAGAGGGATATCATATATCTTGGCTATGCAGAGCACCTTAATTCATAAGTAACATGCAAGTATAAATAGTACTTTTTACAGTTTTGAGACAGTTTACATACATGTAAGTTTCAATGACTACAGTCAATTTTGAGATTTGCATATCAAGGAGGAAATTAAGAGGTGAAGTTACGTTATGTGAACAATTTGATTGCATTAACACTTTCAATCCCCAGATCAAAACATCAATTGTCTGCACTGTTCTATATTGTTTATAATTTTGGTTTGGAGAATTTGGTGTCAAATCAAACACTATCTCTATTTTCGAATATCTTTTAACCCTCTGACCTCTGTGAGTGACTGGCTTCTAATTTCTCCTTACAGTATCACCCCTTGAATCACACATTAAGGTCAGGAGAATAAAGGAAATGACCAGTAACTACAAAAACTCTTGATCGTTCAAAAAATTCTCCTTATCAGCACTGTAGGAAATAAATAGAAAAAAGTATTGAGAATATACATGCTGATGTTGGGGGGTTAAGGGTTATTAGTATATACTAAAACAGTGGAT